AGCTATAATGCTTACGATAAGCTGACAAAAACTGGGACAGCTTGTCACAAAAGAAATTATTTAACTGACCTGCAATGACTCGTTCAAAGATATTACCAAAGGCAGCTAAGGTAGTAATGGGTCGATAGTTACCCTTCGAATATTCAATGCCCTTTTTATATATAGGTGTAACCCCTTGCCATGCCCGGCCAGCATACCCGATATTTCGCTTGTATCACTGAGGACTAAGCTCGCATGGTCTCTCTTTTCCATTTGGGACGAGTCTTTGGACGAAAACTAGCCACGACATCTACGCACATTCAGAGTAAGAATTCAAAAGTTATTATTCTAACGCTTTAACAGGAGAGGTTTTATGCTTAGCCCTCGATTATCAGACCAGGCATTGATTCGAGTGTTTTCACTGGGTTATTGCTCTGGTTTTTCTTACTCCGCAAAACCTATTTTAATCACTAAATTCCAATTACGGAGCAGTTTTTCAGAATGACTGTGTGCCGACAAGCTCTCGACAGGGTCTCGACACGTACGTGGTCGTGTTACGGCAAGGCATACGCCAGTTCAAGCACATTGCAAAAAAAATTCTTCTTATTACTAGAAACAAGACGCGGACGCGGTCACGCCAGGGTCAAAACAAATTTTTAGAAAACATCACTAAACATCACTGCGGCCGCAGCAGGCATGCAGTTAGCGACCTCTAGATACGACGACGAGTAAGAGATAGAGTAAGAGTACGAGTTTTAAAATTGGTCCTGTGCACGTGGTTAACACTAAATCGTAGTCGATTTACGATTTTTTACAATCTAAAGATTCAATCTACGTACACGATCAAGACTACAAAAAGATAGTGCCTCTCTTTTAACGTTAACAACTCGTACTCGTCGGATCTAAAGGTCTCTATTATTTGTGCACCCCCTCCTAAAACCAAAATCCTGGGTGATGCACACCCCCCCCCCCTAGTTATCTATGGCAATGGCCGTTCACTGACTTAGATCAATCTATAGATTGTTTCATAATAAAATTAAAGGTTTGAAGGAAATAAAATAAGAACTCACCACTAAACAAACGATGAACACTATCAGATGACCATTCAAACGTTGGTAAACTACTTCCGATCGTACTTCGTGATCAGTTTGGTTCACATACTTCAGTTGCACGGAAGAGCAATTGCCATCTTTTTCGAGCGTAGCATTTCGAATTCCATCGATATAAAGCACACAAGATTGAGTGTTGTAAAGTAAGTATAACAACAATAATATCAAAAAGGTAAAAGCAAAGGGAACGCAGCATTTTAGACGAAGATCAAAGCATTCGTTCTTCGGCTTGATGAATATTTTGTTTCGTGGCACGATCTCTATGGATAATAATGTAAATAACTGTTTTAGGCCTTACGAGGTTATCAATTTAATATATATACTGCTACTGTCGCTGCTACTGTCGCTGCTACTGCCGCTGCTACTGCCGCTGCTACTGCCGCTGCTACTGCCGCTGCTACTGCCGCTACTGCTACTTTAACAACTGGAGTTTAGTATGATTTTTATTGTTTGTATGCCTATGTAGAAAAACGTTTTCGGTCGGAATGAAGTGGGCGATC